GGCAAGAAGAGCGAAACTCTCTCTCAAAAAGAGAGAAGGGGGAGCCCGGGGAAGTAACGTGGTCTCTTCTTCCACATGCCTCCATCCACCTGCTCCCCCACTGGGTACCCAAGGGGCTGGGAACCTTCCAGATTATCCATCCTTCTCCCAGCAAAAAGGAAGGTAATTGGAACAAGAGGACCTGCCACGGTTAACCCTGTAGGGATGTTGTGGGGTGTGGGTGTGGTGTACTGCGGGTCCTTCTGTGTCATTAGGGGCCTGTGGGCTGTGCTGGGGTTGTGTGCCCCTCCCCGGGAGTGTATGAAGTTGTCAGAGTTGACAGTTGAGCCAGGGCCGCGATGCTGCAGACTTCCTTGGGAGATGATGGCACAGGCACGTCTTCAGCTTCTAAACAGTTCTCTTGCGTTGGAGCAGAGTTTTCACTCATTTCAAACCCAGCTTGGCTGGGCACAGTGGCTCATGCCTGTAATCCCAGCACTTTGGGAGGCTGAGGTGGGAGGATCAGGAGGTCAGGAGTTCGAGACCAGCCCTAGCAACATGGTGAAACCCCGTCTCCACTAAACATACAAAAATTAGCCGGGCATGGTAGTGGGTACCTGTAATCCCAGCTACTCAGGAGGCTGAGGCAGGAGAATTGCTTGAACATGGGAGGTAGAGGTTGCAGTGAGCCGAGATCGTGCCACTGCACCCTAGCCTGGGCGACAGAGTGAGACTCCATCTCAAAAAACAAAAAGCAGAAGTTAGCCAGGCATAGTGGTGGGCATCTGTAGTCCCAGCTATTCCGGGGCTGAGGCAAGAGAATGGCTTGAACCCAGGAGGCAGAGGTTGCAGTGAGCCGAGGTCGTGCCACTGCACGCCAGCCTGGGCAGCAAGAGCAAAACCCCATCTCAAAAATCAAACAAAAACAAAAAAATACCCCAGCTTCTTGAGAAATTTAACCACATCAAGAGACCATGTGAGGGTCTCAGCCATCCTGAAAAAACGCTGACCTTAACCAGAAGTCATTGGGAGCACCAGGGGTGGAGGCGCCTGGAGAGGAGCTAAGTGGAAGCCGCCCTACACTCGGGCGAAATCGAGTTTACAGGCGAGGAGCCAAAGCCAGGCAAATGGGAACATTCTGCCGCAGATGCATCCCAGCACTTTGGGGAGGCCAAGGAGGGCAGATCACGAGGTCAGGAGTTCAAGACCAGCCTGGCTAACCTGGTGAAACCCCATCTCTGCTAAAAATACAAGCAATTAACCAGGGGTGGTGGTGCGCAGTTGTAGTCCCAGCTACTGAGGAGGCTGAGGCAGGAGAATGGCTTGCCCCATTCATGCGTGCAATGCATCAATGGATACGGATAGAGACAATTATTAGAGCAAGACTTCTAGTTGCCAGTGGCTTTTTCGACTGGGACAACCAGCAGAGAATACCATCCCCTCCCCGCATGGTCCCTCACTAAGGAATGTTCTTGGCAGAAAAGGGGCCTCTCCCCTTCCTCCTCCTGGGTCTCCCCTTGGCATCAGCTTCGTTCCCTTGCCCCCTAACCGCAGTTCATGCACCTGAGTTTCCAGTGGCCCAGGGGGACAGTTCAGGACCAGGAACCCCCTTCCCTCCTGCTTCTCCAGGGCGTGGCATGGACCACTCCAGGACTTCTTCGGCCAGGGGCTCTCCTGCGTCCTTTGGGTGTATCCGGATGTCCTTCCCACCAATGTGTTTCTGAACTTTTCTGTCCCAGATGCTGCTTTCCGCCATGACCAACGTCTAGAACCGCAGCCAGAAACCAGACTCTTGTCAAAAGGAATTTTTTTTTTTTTTTTTTTTTTTGAGACGGAGTTTCACTCATGTTACCCAGGCTGGAGTGTAACGGCACGATCTTGGCTCACCACAACCTCCGCCTCCTGGGTTCAGGCAATTCTCCTGCCCCAGCCTCCTGAGTAGCTGGGATTACAGGCACGCGCCACCATGCCCAGCTAATTTTTTGTATTTTTAGTAGAGACGGGGTTTCACCATGTTGACCAGGATGGTCTCGATCTCTTG